CTTTAAAAGTAGTTTATCTGATGTACGTAATGTTCGGCCAGGTGTATAAAGTTCTAAAAGATCTGAGAGGTAAACAGGAGCTAAATTATTTAAACATTTAAAAGTAAGTAATAAAATCTTAAAATCAATTCGATATTTAACAGGTAACCAGTGTAAATTATATAAAACAGGAGTTATGTGGTCACATTTCTTAGTTAAAGTGACAAGTCTAGCCGCAGTATTCTGTACTTTTTGTAATTTATCTATAAGCTTTAAAGGTAAACCAACTAAAAGTGAATTAAAGTTATCTAATCGAGAAGTGACCAGAGAATTAACAAGTGACTTAGTGGCCTCTACAGTTACAAATTTACGTATTTTACCTATATTTCTAATATTAAAATAGCACAATTTACAAATATTATTTACTTGAGCTCCCATAAGCATAAAACTATCAAAGATAGCGTATGTTGAATTGATGTAAAGTAAGGCACACGTATAAAAAATTAAGCAGCATAATAAATCGAATCTCAAATATTAAGCACGCATAGACGATCAATCCGATCGTTGCAAAAATCGCCTTTCGGAATCAAAAGGACACGTTTTCTGGACTTTGACCGCCCTCTTCCAGTCCACGACAAGTTGTTTTGGTAGGTATTTTAATACAAAGTATTTTTGCATGTAGTTACTTTTATTTTAGCTCGTCTAAATAATAAGGGCTCCTACATGTAATAGATTCATAAGAAATTAATTAATGGTCTGCACCCAAGTTTTTCGAGTTATCTCCCGTATACAGTTCTCTTCTTTTTAAGACAGTTTGAGTCCTATTTTGTAAATATGGCAGACAAAATTACTAAATACTAAAATAGTCAGTTGGCAATCTTATAATTTAAGATTCCCAATTTTTAAAAAAAATATTGCAATGCCTTTCGGCATGAAACCATCGTGTAGTGCGTGTAAAACATCCAGCTCAGCAATCTGGAAAAAAAATCCTCAGGGTGAAGTACTATGTTTGTCCTGCAATGGGAAACAGAATGGCACAGGCGGGAAAGATGGAAATGGCAACGGAGCTAACCAAGGACCCAACGGTAACAATGGTTCATCAGGACGAAATAATGGTTCAGGTGGGACGGCTGTACGTAAAAGTTCAAGAATCAAACCTGCAAAACATAAATTTGCTGGTTCAAATAAGCCATTGTCAACTAAAGGAAAGGGTAGAAGAATCATTTTCAAAAAAACTGTAAGTACTGTACTTTACTACTAGTACACGTAGTAGGTAGGGCTGTGTCGATATATCGATACACCGATGTGTATCGATACATTCTGGCGATATTTATATCGATACGTAATATAGCTGTATCGTTGAAAACATTCTTCAGTTAACCCACGTTGCGCAAGAAGACGATCTCAGCATGGTTTGCCAATCGAGCGTCTGCCACGCTCCGTATAGGAGCTTTTACGGGTTTCCATTTTGACATCATTTTCGGTCATGCACAGACCCTGGCCTTATTCGTAGACTGAAACCCATAGGCCAGTGTGTGTTTTTTTGTGAAAATACCGTCGTACAGTAAGCTTCTTTTACGTAAAATGGAACTGAACGCAATTTCTATATACGTGTTAGGTTTACCGACCGATGCCAGAAAGCGAAACTTACAAAAACTTCGATATAGGAAAGATACGGCAAGTTTACCAGACCCATAATTGGCCGTTTGCAATTGAGGAAACAAGTGGATGACTGATTCGTGCTCATGACCCGAACTAGAATTAAGTCAAGTTTATTACGCATTTTACGGTCAAACAGATGTTATATTAATTACTGGACTATTAACACAAAAGATTTAAATGGTCTATCCTACGTGTATTTACATTCAACTGCCGACTGGACAGACAGTTCTTTGCGAGGTTGATATACATGTATCGTCTGCTATAGCACTGCATGCTACCCTACTCGACACAAAACACGGTACTATGTTGGTCTTTGAGGCTGTCGATGTGAAAATAATTCCAGCTAATAATACTATAAATAGTATGCAATATGCAAATAAGATTGTTTATGCGTACTGTTAGCCAATAGCTATTGTAAATTTCCCCGCGTTTAGACGGCTCTAACCAATGATAAAATAGTTGTTTGGTGCACGGGTTAAAACCTCAGCCATTTTTATAAATTTCCTCTTGATGGGATATGAATAACAGAAAGAATAAAACGACGATCAAGTTGAATCTGAGAGTATTTTTTAAAACCGTTTTTTTCAGTTAGTTCCACATAAATCGTCTTGGCTCAGCTTTTGGCACTCAGTGAAATTTTAATCCAATCAGTTTATCTTGCCGCAACCAAGAAAGAAGAACGATACATTTGTGTCCATTTTATCAATTTCTAATTCAGTATTTGGTTCAGAGAACTACTATTGAATAAAAATATGTAACTCACTGGACTCTGTGCATTCTATACAGCGTGACTATTATTTGTTCTCTTTTTTTTTTTTAGATGTGCTACGGTCGTGCTTAAATTTTAATATCGTCTTGAAATGAATAATTCTTTTGTGGAACCGCAGGTCACCATCTCTAACCCATTCTATTATTTACTCTTATGCTATTTCATGGCATTTTACAAGCAAACAGATGTTATTTATTAATTGTTTGCAGTAAAATTAAAACAAAACATATAAATCGGTTTCATACAGCAATGCATCTTTGTAATGCATTTGCGTACTGCAGTCAACTGGACCGTGTGTGAGCTTGACATAATCGTCTGCTACAACGCAGTATATTTTCAACAAAAATAATTTAGACACAATTTGAAATTGGTAATTTACAATAAAAGTGGCATTTAGGAATACTTTTTGTATAAAGAGAAAAAGAGGAAAAAACCCATTTTCCCTAGCATTTACAATGTTAAGACCCGCGTTGAAAAAGGCCAGGCTAAAAGTAGACGCGTAAAAGCTCCTATAAACTCCAGGTACCGGTAGATACATGTATATAAATAATAACTGAATCATACATTGATGGATTCACTGACCAGTTGTTAGGTAAATTTAAATCTTCATTGAATATAATCCCCTGATAGAACACTGAATACACAGAGAAACGGTCATTTAATAATATATTTTCCTGATAGAATTCCAAGGACATGTGACATATCGATTGGAATTAGGTCAATAAACCAGTTATAAAATAGCGCTTACCGTTATAATTTTTTTTTATATTTTATACACATTCTGACAAAGGCTTAATTTTAAAAATATTGTTTTTATTGAAGGCTATATCATAATCGTTAGGCATTTTTTATTTTAAAGCAATTTCAAGTATGGCTATCACGTGACAGTTGACGAATGAATAAAAACTTTTGCTAGTTATGTGATAGACAAATAAACTACAAATTGTGTTATGAAGAAATGCCATGGTGCCGTATCAGGTTATCTAGGCTACAGCATTTTCTGATACTGGCAATAGTTGAAAAATGCTAATATTTTAGATCATTAATACGAAATTCCAGTTACTTTGTTATATATTACTGGAAAGTATGTTTATTTGGCTGTTTGAAACTATCAATTATTTCCTGGCACATTCATGGTTACGCACAGTCGTCTAGATAGTTTCTTATGGTGTGCCAGCTTGATTTATTGATATCGTGCTGTGAATATCCGTTATTATTATTATTATTATTATTATTATTACAGCATATTTATAGTGCACCCTTTCATATAACATGTTCAGAGGCACTTTACAAAGTGACAATGTAAATCACACATAAACAACAAGATTATGGACATGTTAACGATTGTATACAGAGTCAGTTAAAAGCCTGATTAAATAAATGTGTTTTAAGTTGTTTTTTAAAAGAATACAGAGATGTACAACATTATTTCCTGGCACATTCATGGTTACGCACAGTCGTCTAGATAGTTTCTTATGGTGTGCCAGCTTGATTTATTGATATCGTGCTGTGAATATCCGTTATTATTATTATTATTATTATTACAGCATATTTATAGTGCACCCTTTCATATAACATGTTCAGAGGCACTTTACAAAGTGACAATGTAAATCACACATAAACAACAAGATTATGGACATGTTAACGGTTGTATACAGAGTCAGTTAAAAGCCTGATTAAATAAATGTGTTTTAAGTTGTTTTTTAAAAGAATACAGAGATGTACAACATCTTAAACTAAATGGTAGATTATTCCATAAAACAGGTGCTTGATAACTAAAAGAGCGCTGACCATAGGAGACTAGTTGAACAGTTTTGGGCTTTAAAAGTAGTTTATCTGATGTACGTAATGTTCGGCCAGGTGTATAAAGTTCTAAAAGATCTGAGAGGTAAACAGGAGCTAAATTATTTAAACATTTAAAAGTAAGTAATAAAATCTTAAAATCAATTCGATATTTAACAGGTAACCAGTGTAAATTATATAAAACAGGAGTTATGTGGTCACATTTCTTAGTTAAAGTGACAAGTCTAGCCGCAGTATTCTGTACTTTTTGTAATTTATCTATAAGCTTTAAAGGTAAACCAACTAAAAGTGAATTAAAGTTATCTAATCGAGAAGTGACCAGAGAATTAACAAGTGACTTAGTGGCCTCTACAGTTACAAATTTACGTATTTTACCTATATTTCTAATATTAAAATAGCACAATTTACAAATATTATTTACTTGAGCTCCCATAAGCATAAAACTATCAAAGATAGCGTATGTTGAATTGATGTAAAGTAAGGCACACGTATAAAAAATTAAGCAGCATAATAAATCGAATCTCAAATATTAAGCACGCATAGACGATCAATCCGATCGTTGCAAAAATCGCCTTTCGGAATCAAAAGGACACGTTTTCTGGACTTTGACCGCCCTCTTCCAGTCCACGACAAGTTGTTTTGGTAGGTATTTTAATACAAAGTATTTTTGCATGTAGTTACTTTTATTTTAGCTCGTCTAAATAATAAGGGCTCCTACATGTAATAGATTCATAAGAAATTAATTAATGGTCTGCACCCAAGTTTTTCGAGTTATCTCCCGTATACAGTTCTCTTCTTTTTAAGACAGTTTGAGTCCTATTTTGTAAATATGGCAGACAAAATTACTAAATACTAAAATAGTCAGTTGGCAATCTTATAATTTAAGATTCCCAATTTTTAAAAAAAATATTGCAATGCCTTTCGGCATGAAACCATCGTGTAGTGCGTGTAAAACATCCAGCTCAGCAATCTGGAAAAAAAATCCTCAGGGTGAAGTACTATGTTTGTCCTGCAATGGGAAACAGAATGGCACAGGCGGGAAAGATGGAAATGGCAACGGAGCTAACCAAGGACCCAACGGTAACAATGGTTCATCAGGACGAAATAATGGTTCAGGTGGGACGGCTGTACGTAAAAGTTCAAGAATCAAACCTGCAAAACATAAATTTGCTGGTTCAAATAAGCCATTGTCAACTAAAGGAAAGGGTAGAAGAATCATTTTCAAAAAAACTGTAAGTACTGTACTTTACTACTAGTACACGTAGTAGGTAGGGCTGTGTCGATATATCGATACACCGATGTGTATCGATACATTCTGGCGATATTTATATCGATACGTAATATAGCTGTATCGTTGAAAACATTCTTCAGTTAACCCACGTTGCGCAAGAAGACGATCTCAGCATGGTTTGCCAATCGAGCGTCTGCCACGCTCCGTATAGGAGCTTTTACGGGTTTCCATTTTGACGTCATTTTCGGTCATGCACAGACCCTGGCCTTATTCGTAGACTGAAACCCATAGGCCAGTGTGTGTTTTTTTGTGAAAATACCGTCGTACAGTAAGCTTCTTTTACGTAAAATGGAACTGAACGCAATTTCTATATACGTGTTAGGTTTACCGACCGATGCCAGAAAGCGAAACTTACAAAAACTTCGATATAGGAAAGATACGGCAAGTTTACCAGACCCATAATTGGCCGTTTGCAATTGAGGAAACAAGTGCATGACTGATTCGTGCTCATGACCCGAACTAGAATTAAGTCAAGTTTATTACGCATTTTACGGTCAAACAGATGTTATATTAATTACTGGACTATTAACACAAAAGATTTAAATGGTCTATCCTACGTGTATTTACATTCAACTGCCGACTGGACAGACAGTTCTTTGCGAGGTTGATATACATGTATCGTCTGCTATAGCACTGCATGCTACCCTACTCGACACAAAACACGGTACTATGTTGGTCTTTGAGGCTGTCGATGTGAAAATAATTCCAGCTAATAATACTATAAATAGTATGCAATATGCAAATAAGATTGTTTATGCGTACTGTTAGCCAATAGCTATTGTAAATTTCCCCGCGTTTAGACGGCTCTAACCAATGATAAAATAGTTGTTTGGTGCACGGGTTAAAACCTCAGCCATTTTTATAAATTTCCTCTTGATGGGATATGAATAACAGAAAGAATAAAACGACGATCAAGTTGAATCTGAGAGTATTTTTTAAAACCGTTTTTTTCAGTTAGTTCCACATAAATCGTCTTGGCTCAGCTTTTGGCACTCAGTGAAATTTTAATCCAATCAGTTTATCTTGCCGCAACCAAGAAAGAAGAACGATACATTTGTGTCCATTTTATCAATTTCTAATTCAGTATTTGGTTCAGAGAACTACTATTGAATAAAAATATGTAACTCACTGGACTCTGTGCATTCTATACAGCGTGACTATTATTTGTTCTCTTTTTTTTTTTTAGATGTGCTACGGTCGTGCTTAAATTTTAATATCGTCTTGAAATGAATAATTCTTTTGTGGAACCGCAGGTCACCATCTCTAACCCATTCTATTATTTACTCTTATGCTATTTCATGGCATTTTACAAGCAAACAGATGTTATTTATTAATTGTTTGCAGTAAAATTAAAACAAAACATATAAATCGGTTTCATACAGCAATGCATCTTTGTAATGCATTTGCGTACTGCAGTCAACTGGACCGTGTGTGAGCTTGACATAATCGTCTGCTACAACGCAGTATATTTTCAACAAAAATAATTTAGACACAATTTGAAATTGGTAATTTACAATAAAAGTGGCATTTAGGAATACTTTTTGTATAAAGAGAAAAAGAGGAAAAAACCCATTTTCCCTAGCATTTACAATGTTAAGACCCGCGTTGAAAAAGGCCAGGCTAAAAGTAGACGCGTAAAAGCTCCTATAAACTCCAGGTACCGGTAGATACATGTATATAAATAATAACTGAATCATACATTGATGGATTCACTGACCAGTTGTTAGGTAAATTTAAATCTTCATTGAATATAATCCCCTGATAGAACACTGAATACACAGAGAAACGGTCATTTAATAATATATTTTCCTGATAGAATTCCAAGGACATGTGACATATCGATTGGAATTAGGTCAATAAACCAGTTATAAAATAGCGCTTACCGTTATAATTTTTTTTTATATTTTATACACATTCTGACAAAGGCTTAATTTTAAAAATATTGTTTTTATTGAAGGCTATATCATAATCGTTAGGCATTTTTTATTTTAAAGCAATTTCAAGTATGGCTATCACGTGACAGTTGACGAATGAATAAAAACTTTTGCTAGTTATGTGATAGACAAATAAACTACAAATTGTGTTATGAAGAAATGCCATGGTGCCGTATCAGGTTATCTAGGCTACAGCATTTTCTGATACTGGCAATAGTTGAAAAATGCTAATATTTTAGATCATCGACTTATGAAACGCAACCGTTTCATCGAATAAACCAAGACAGTAATTTACATTCTGCACACAGAGATCCATCTACTTCATATTTCGAGAATAGATCTCTGCCCAAAATGTCCGCCATATCTAAAAATTAGTATACTCTTTTGTAATTACATGTAGGTTCTACTCCCTTTCACATCTGTCATACTAGGGGTGGGCAAATGGAGGTCCATTTTAGGCGACAAGTGTTTTCTAAGGCCATTTCAGCTGCTGAATCCGAAACAGATTACATTTTTGATATGTGACGTAATTTTAGGTTGGTTCAGTGCCTATTTCCAAATGGCCGCCAAAAATGGACTTTTTTCGTCATAATAGTAAGGACATATTGAAACCAGTCGTCTAATATGTGCTAATGTATGCTTTTATAGGTCGGGGATACCGAATGAGACGAACTTAGATACAAAGGAATAATGGTTATACTACAGTGGTATTTTTTGTAATTTGTTTTCAGAAAAATCTGCATTTTTGCAGAATAACGCCCATAATTTGTTCATATCTGTGATGTCGGGTTATTCTATCTCAGATACCATAGGAACTTAGAACAGCTTGCCAACTTCCCAACAGGGAAAGGCAACACCCTGGACATCAACAAATCTATTCCATCTTATGGCAACACTGACCATGACCTAGTCCTTCTAGACATGTACTCTACGGCTAAGTGACTAAAACCTATTCGCAGAAAGCTATACCTCTGGAAACGAGCAGACATACAAGGAATCAAAGAGGATCTCACTGACCTTACCGATTCAGTTATATAACATGGGAGAACCCCAAACCAAAAGGCAGAGAATCGAGACCATCGCCAAAAGAATCCCCTCCAAGATGACGACTTTTCGTTACACAAATCTCTGGATAAACACAGATATTAATAGAGCCACCAGACGGTAATAGAGGGCTTACAAGAAGGCACGCCTTACTAAGAAGAATCAAGACAAGGACCTTTACAAGAAGCTACAGAATTACCTTGAAACCACGATCAGCAGGGACTATAAGGAAGACTCCAAGAAATTTTGGACTTTCATCAAGAGTAAAGGCCAAGAAGCCACTGGAGTAGCACCACTCAAAAACAAGAGTGACGCCCAGTAAAAAGCCAACATACTGAATCCACAGTTTGAATCAGCTTTCACTGCAGTGTTCCCACCATGGCATCCATCAAACTTGATTGGAAAGGTTTACATACACTTGAAACTTCTGATGAATTTGAAGCTCTATTATGCAACTGGACCAAACACAGTCCCCTCCTTCATCATCAAAGCAGAAGCCAATATTCAAGAAGGGAGACATACATCAGCCAGGGAACTAAACGCCAGTGTCGCTTGCCCACATCACCAAACCTAAAGAATGGAGATGAGTACGTTACCAACGGCAATGAAAAGGCAGATCTACTTGCAAAAGCTTTCGCTGACGCAAGCAGGGACGAAAACCAATCACCAGAGTTCCTGAAGAGAAAGGAAATCTTTTACTCACAGCACCCTTCATTAGAAATTGAACCCAATGATGGGGCTAAACCAATCAATCTACCCTTCTCTGAGGAGGAGTTAAATAAGGCTCTTTCCCTCAAGAAGGATAGTGCGGCTGGTGAGGACAAAGTAAAGTACTCGATGCTCAAACATCTGCCTAGAAATGCCAAAAGAATACTACTAAACTTCTTCCAACACATCCTGGCTGGCTGGAGAGGTACTCAAAGAATGGCGGAAAGGCAACGTCATCCGTCTTCCAAAACCAGGTAAAGAGAGAACAAAGGCAGAGTCCTATCGACCAGTAAGCTTGACATCCACACTGTGCAAAACCTTGGAAACAATGGTTAACATACGACTACAGTTCTATCTGGAGAGCAACCGACTGATCGACGAACATCAAAGCGGGTTCAGGAAAGGGCGTTGAACAACGGACCACTTGGTGAGATTACAGCAAGTCATGTCGCAGGCACTCCTCTCTGGGAACCTGTTATGTGTCGTGTTCGTAGATTTAACTAAGGCTTTCGATTTAGTCTGGCTAGACGGGCTGCTCTTCAAGTTAGGACGTATTGATATAACGGGCATAATGTTTCGGTGGATCAAAAGCTTTCTGAGCGATAGAAGGATACAGGTGAATGTAGGCAGATTCCTGAGTGCCGGCAAACATTAGAAAATAGCACGCCTCAGGGGTCGGTTATCAGTCCCACTCTCTTCAATATCATGATCAACGACATACAGAAATCTTCCTACCTCGACGCCAAAACTGAGTTAGCTAAATTTGCTGTTGACAGTACCATATGGAGGAAAGGGAGGAACTTCTGTGAACTACAAAAGAACATGCAGAAGGCCTTAGACAAATTCATGGCATGGGCAAACGATTGGGGATTCAAAGTCTCGGAGAAGAAAACAGTCAGCATGCTTGTAAGCAGGGATAGAGGGATAAACAGAATGACTCTGTGTATGAACGGGAAAACCATCGAGTTTAAAGACCAAACCAAGTTCCTTGGTGTAATCTTTGACCGAAGGCTGACCTGGAAACCGCACATCGACGAGACTGTAGATATTTGCACCAAAATCCTAAACTTAATGAGGAAAATAACGGGCAGCACATGGGGTGCCAATAGAGTTACATTAATGATGGTGTATCGTGCTCTAATACGCTCTGTATTAGACTACGGCTCTTTGGCCTTCATGAACTGTGCGCCAAAACTCTTAAGTAAGCTTGACACCATCCAATACAAAGCTCTGTGTATTGCGACCGGCGTAGGGC